CCAAGGCAGGATGTTGTAGTCTCTGAAACATTGGTGAGATGGAGACGCCGATAGACTTCTCGCGAGAGGGCACACTGCATGTAGAATTTCACGAAACCTCAGGGGAAAGTCAGACATTCCTTTCTTTTTTCCTTTTGGTTTTTCAAGTCAAGGGTTTCTCTGTGTAGTCCCTGGCTGTCCTGGAACTCACTCTGTAGACCAGGCTAGGCTTGAACTCAGAGATTCACCTGCCTCCGCCTCCTGGAGTGTTGGGATTAAAGGAGTGTGACACCACTGCCCAGCTTAAGTTCCAATATGTTTTTAAAGAGGACTTGTTGCTTTGTGGAGTCTGCCAAGTGAATTTACTTTTAACTAGTCCTAATTTTTTTCTTGTATGTGTTTCTGCTTAGCAATCCTCTTTGATCTATTTCAATTGTCCCCCTTTGGAGACAGTAGACACACAGATGTGTTGGATGGAAATTGCTCAGCTCTGTCGACGGTAGGTCACATGTCCACCTTGTGAGTATATAGTGCAGCCTTGATCTCGTTGGACCAGTTCTCCACGCTTTTTCTTGCTCCTTTGTGCTGCAGGTTAATCTCCAATCAGCAGGTGCCACCCTGTAAATGGAACTCTGTGTATAACTGGAATCATATCAAGCTCCCCAAGTCCGGCCTGCTTCCAAGCCAGTTTCGTTCCCACAGTGAGACAACATCACCTTGTAGCTGATGCCTGCCTTGCCTTCAACTCGGGGAACTTCTGTGTTGTGGCCTCTCTGGGCTGAATGTCTATCTTGGCACTTGTTGAAGAGACAGAATTGCTGCACTGTGGATACTTAGGTCCTGTGGTCCTGAGAAGCAGACTTCCCAAACACTAGGACGCTTTGCCCTCTTTTGTTGTGAGAGCATACAAGATTACTCGGAAGGAATTTAGCTCAGTCTAGGTGACCATGGTGAAATAAAGCCCTGTTTCATTGTGCCCAGAGGAATTCCTGTTGTCTGTTTTCTTCAAGTCTTGTTCATTGTAATTCACTCTAAGTAGTTCCATGGTTAAGGAGTGAGAAATGTCTTTTTTAAATGTAAGCCCATATGTTTGTGGGTGCAGGTTCTCACAGGGGTCACAGGAGGGTGTCAGAGGCCCTGTAGTTGGGCCTGTGTGCCATCCAGTGTAGATTCTGGGACCTGAACTGAGGATCTAAGATAAAGCAACAAGTGTTCTTAACCACTGGGACATCTCTCCAGTCGGAGAAGAACCCTTTTGTTGTTGTTGAGACAGGGTTTCTCTGTGTAGCTCTGGCTATCCTGGAACTCACTCTGTGGACCAGGCTGGCCCTGAACTCACAGAGATCTGTCTGCCTCTGCCTCCCAAGCACTGGGATTAAATATGTGTGCCACCCCCGCCACCCGGCTTAGAAGCATCTTTTATTGAAATGACAATCATCTGAAACTCTTGTAGGAAGATGGTGAGATTTTAGGGTGAAGACAAATGCAAAGGCTGGTTGAGAGACACAGAGTCTGGAACTGGAAAGCTCCTCTGCCAGCCTGTGGTATCAACCTGTTCGGTTAGGGCTAGGCTAGGTCATTGTGACTGTACTTTTTGGATGCCGGGTGTGATCTATTAGCACAGGGCGGGGCCACCTTACAACACCCAGGGACTCCTCTGGAGGGGTTCTAGACTTTCTCCATGGCTAATTGATTGGGGTTCTGTGTTGGTTGTTTTTAGTCTTAGCCCTTGTACTCTTTGTTCCTTGCTGTTTTGGGGGGCCCGCCACCCAGTTCCCAATAAACACACGGAGGCTTATACTTAATTATGAATGCCCGGCCTTAGCTTGGCTTATTTCTAGCCAGCTTTTCTTAATTTATTGCATCTACCTTTTGCCTCTGGGCTTTTTCCTTTTCTCACTTCTGTATGTCTTATTTTCACTCTTACTCCGTGGCTGGTTGTGTGGCTGTGTGGCTGTGTGGTGTGTGGCTGGCCTCTTCTTTCCTTGCTGCTTAATCACCTCTCTTGCTTCCCAATCCTTCTTTTTCTCCTTCTGTTTATTCTCTCTGCCTGCCAGCCCCTCCTATCCTTTCTCCTTCCTCGCTATTGGCTGTTCAGCTCTTTATTAGACCATCAGGTGTTTTAGACCCAGCTTCCCAGACTTAAACAAATGCAACATAAAAGAATGCAACACAGCTTTGCATCATTAGACAAATATTCCACAGCATAAACAAATGTAACACATCTTAAAATAATATTCTACAACAGGGTTCTGTGTTGGTTTCTATGGTAGGTGACGCCCCCCCTTCCCCACGCCCCTGCCTTTGGGAAGGCATTCTGGAAGCAGTCTACAAATTTTGGGGCCAGGTTTCGATGCATGCATGCATCATAGCTAACCAGCTGTAGTAGTTTGGTCAATTGGACACAATGTAAAGTCACCTGGAAGGAGGGTCTTAGTGCAGTGTTGGTTAGATCAGGTTGCCTGTGGCATGTCTGTGAGGGACTGTAAGTCAACACCATCCTTCATCAATTCGGAAGACTTAGCCTACAAGTAGATAGCACCATTTCCTAGCTTGGGACCTAGGGCTGTATCACAGTAAAGAGAAGTAGCTGAGCACTGACCATGTATGGCCCTGTCCCTCTCTGCCCTTGGTCGTGGTTCTGATGTGACTAGAAGGTTTACATTCCTGCTGCCCAGACCTCCCTGCCATGATGACCTAGAACATGGAATTGTGAGCTAAAATGAACCCTTTCTACCCAAGGTTGCTTTTTGCCAGGGTATTCTATCACAGCAACAAATATAAAGCTAAGATGTTGCCAATCGGTAGTTACTGACTAGATTGGGGAAGGAGACTGTGTTAGGAAATTCTGGGTACACAGCAGTCAGAATATGGCTTCCTTCCCTCCACTACCAAATCTACTTGTCTGACTGCCCCGATCAAGCAGCTTCTAGGTCCTACAGACATCAGGGGGAAAAGGAGAACTTTCCGTGGCCTGCTGCATGTCCTCAGGATAAAGCTGGCTTGAGATTTGGTCTCCTCAGCCCAGGACACACATACAGCTGAGGCTGGTGGGAATCAAGTGTCCCGGGCTGGATGATGAATGAGCTCCTGGGAAGGGTTTTGCTCACAGAGATCTGGGAATGCCCTCACTCCTCCACTGCCCGAGACCATCTACCTATGAAGACAATGATGGCACTCGGACGTTTTCTCCATCACGAACCATGTTTAGATGGAGATCCAGTTTCTCACTGAAGGAGAAAGGTATTCCATGGATTGTCATCAAAAGAACAGGTGGCTGTGGTCAGCACTCTCAAATTCTTCATGGTTTTCAACCAAAGTTTTCAATTGGGAAAAATAAGTGGTTCATTTGTAAAAGTAAACTTTGAGAATCGTTATAACCCAAAAGTACCTCTTTGTGGTGTGTGTGTGTGTGTGTGTGTGTGTGTGTGTGTGTGTGTATGTGTATGTGTATGTGTGTGTGTATGTGTGTCTGTCTGTGGTGTATGTATGTGTGTGGTGGGTGTGTATGGTGCATGTATGTGTGTGGGGTGTGTATGGTGCATGTGTGTGTGTGTGTGTGTGTATGTGTGTGTGTGTGTGTGGTGTGTGTCTGTTTGTGGTGCATATGTGTGTGTGGTGTATGTGTGTGTGTGTGTGGTGTATGTGTGTGTGTATGTGTGTGGTGTATGGATGTGTGTGTGTGGTGCATGTATGTGTGTGTGTGTGTGTGTGTGTGTGTTATATTTCTATGTCTGGAGGTTGATGGCAGGTTTCATCCTCTCTCACATTGCACCTTATTTTTTGAGACAGGAACTCTCACTGAACCTGGCTGGTGCTTGTTGATTTGGCTAGACTGGCAAGGCGGTGATACGCAAGAACCCTGTCTCTGCTTCCTCAGCGCTGGGATTACAGGGGCGCTCCTAGTGTGGCTTTTTCCGGATGTTAGCAATCCAAACAGGTCCTCGTGATTGTACAGCACACACTTTACAGACGAAGCTGGCCTTCAAGCTAATGGACAAGGTGTTGCTGTTTTGTACACACACACACACACACACACACACACACACACACACACACACACACACACTGCTCTGGAAGACTGTGAAGCAGCTTCACTGCAGACACACTGTGTCCGGCACACAAATACCACTGCCCAGTTCTCTCACAGATCTACATTCCACGGACTAGGTGTTGGGTGGATTGGGAAGCTGGCATGCTGAGAGCCTCATTCTGGCCCTGACTGGGTAAGTTAAGGCACAGAACGTTACACCCTTTTTATTTATGAAATAGAGGAAAGAAAGGGTATGGATCACAGTAAGAGAGAGGTTTTGTTTTGTACCTCAGACAATTCCTTTATTTGAGTTAGAAACAACCGAGGGAGCTGTTCTCAGGCTGAGTTGGAGTCCGTTACAGTTACATTGTCTTGGGTGTCAGCGGTCTGGAGACATTGAGGTACACAAGAGGGCATGTGTAGGTAAGTACTGCGCCATTTTGTATAAGGGACTTGAGCTGCCCCAGGGGCGATCTGGAGCTAACACCATCACAGATACTGATGGGCAGCTGCTGCCCCTTCTTTCTCTTTCTGTTTGTCTATCCTTGTTTTTATTTGAGACAGGGTTTCTCTGTGTAGCCTTGGCTGTCCTGGAACTCACTCTGTAGACCAGGTTGGCCTCGAACTCACAGAAATCCATCTACCTCTGCCTCCTGAATGCTGGGATTAAAGGCGTGCACCACCATGCCCAGCTCCTTTTTCTCTTTTAAGTTATTGAGCTGGAGGAGATATTATTATATTAACTGCTTTGTATTGCTATTTTGCTTAATAAAGCTGTTGAAAGATAAGACAGTTTCTTTTATCCGGGTGCCAAGTCTGCTCTGGCAATGGTGTGGTGGAGAGGCTGCCCCCAACAGATGTCCATGGTAAAGAAAAGGCAGTGTAGTGTGAGCTCCTGTGCAGGGTTGCCCCTAAACTCCAGAACTTTCTTTGAAATCCAAAACAAAATGGGAACAATTCTTAATGTCTATAACTCAGCACCAAAAAGCACAGTACAACCACATTATTTTATTGGAAATATACAGAAACATTACAAATTTATCAACTATCTAAAATGAATAGTATAAACATTTGAAAAATATAAACTTTCATGAACAGTTTATCAAAAATACTCAAGAACATTCAACATATTCATATGACCCCCAACCCCCAAAAGCTTTTGAAGGTGAAAGTGACATTTAGTTTGACTTCACTGGTTTTATCATTTCTCTACCCCTCTTGTTGAGGACTAAACCCAAGGCCTTATGTGCATGTTGATGGAGCATTGTGCTGCTGAGCTACATTCCCCACTCCAAGAAAAATATTTTTGTGGGAATGGCTTTATATCATGATTGAGAGTGGACAATGATGAGTATGCCTTCCCTTGAACTGTCTAAAATGAATTATGTGACCAAAATTGAGGAAAGATGAGGGATTCATGAAATCTTGTGCTCCCCCTTTCTAGTAAGAAGAATGTGAGGATTAGAATGTTGAGTCAATGAGAATCAACTTTAGGGAGGTGCCTGTTATTTACTGGGCATGATATAGGAAGCTTCCATGTATGTGAATTAGTATTTTCCTTTTTTAGAAGGAAGTGTTAATTTAATCCAATGTTGTTACATCTAAAGAATTTTATGAGTGTCTTTTACTCTGGACTAGAAATAGAATCGCTGACCTAACAGGGAAATTATCAATCAGAAAAGAAAACGGTTTCCTTTACACAGGTATTGATATGCAGCAGAGAAATCGTGCCTATGCGATGACAAGGTGAGTACACTCAGATGCAGAGCTGGGACAAGCAGTTCAAATGACATGGAGTGAATCAGGGGCACGGCTTACTCTTCCCTACCCAGAATCTTCTTACTTGAGAATGGTTCCGTTTTGATGTTAGATTTAGAGTCACACTTTCATTTCCAGAGCGTTTTGCCAACATTCCATTGTTTCTCTGCATATGACGATTCATTAAATCTCTCCATCTTCCTCCAGGGCACATATGTCACCACCAGTTTATTTTCTAACCCACAACACACCGCTTCTTGTGTTCCAGGAACCTTTGACCTGTGTACAATGTACCAAGGGCAAAACTTGACCAGTAAGGTGGCAAGTAACAGGCGACATTTCATAAACGTCTTACAGTTAAAATCAGTAGAAAGGAGAACTGCCACAACCTGAGGAAAGAGGTCAAGAGAAATGATTGATGTCCTCACCAAGAAGACACCCTGGAGGACCCAGCAGAGATCTTAAAGCTAAAAAAGAAAACCAGTAAGAGAATTTGTACAAGTTTCAAACACACTACTGTTTCAGAAGACAATTTTCTACAAACTTGTGTTCACAGCTTATATATCTGATACACAAAGTGAGTCAGTGATGGATAGTAAACATGTATTTGACTTGAGGTATCAACTCATGGAATGCCCATGACTTATCAGCGTCCACAAGCATGCAGTGCAGTTAACTGCCCTCAACAGTAATCCTCCCCCCCCCCCCGAAGATTTTAAGAGCAGGAATCTAGAATGAGTCAGAGAAATCAAATGCAAAATTTTAATGAGCAAAAGACACTTCCTGTAATATATCTGGGGTATGAACACTTTGTTTTTAGGAATTTCTCTCTCCCTATACACTTATCAATGAGCTGAATTGGAAAGTGTTGCCAAGATGAATTCAATTGGCAAGAAAATGCATCCATAATTCAAAACAGCAATAGGCTGTGCCCATTCTGAAAATTTAGAAACTGTTCATAATTTCCTTAATAAAGATGAAAGTGGGAAGTTTTAAAAGAACATTAGGACATCACAAAGAATCTGTTAGTTGTTTTTGGTTTTAAAAGACCTGCCTTTGAGAGATAAGACATTTGAGAAAAACTAAAGTTTTTAAATGTCACATTGTGGAGTGGCTTTACAGAGACCTCTATGTCAATGAGAAGAAACTTATGGAATAATAATTTTCAAAAAGAAGCTGGTGCGGCAGTGTACATCTGTAACCCCAGCACTCAGTGGGGTGGAAGCAGGAGAGTTGTGATGAGCTCTGGGCCAGCCTGCGTCATAGAGCAAGAGTGTGCCTGAAAAAATTAACAAACCCAAAGGAAAATATCCAAACTCCAAAACACCAAAAAAAAAAAAAAAAAAAAAGAAAGAAAAGAAAGAAAAAAAGAAAAGAAAAAAAAAGAAAAGAAAAAAAAAGAAAAGATAATGGAACAAATTGGCTATTGGAAGTCATTGCAAAGCTAAATTCACCTGAGTCTTCCAGAAAACACATTTTTGCTTATTTCAGCCATGTCTATGTTAATAGAATCTCTGACATAATCATGTGTGTATGTTTGGGGAAAAGAAAAAAAATGTATGTGTCATGTACATTTTAGGCCACTGTGTTCTTTCATATTTTGCCCATCTGCTGTCTAGTTTTTAAAGGTGCTTGCAGAAGAGAGGACAAAGCGCCAGTCTTCCCATTTCTTAGTTTTAATAGCTTGAGATTATGACTCCTCAGAGACCACTCAATCAGAACCCAGTTAACTTGATCTGCCAATCACCTCGAGTCCATGACTAGGCATCAGAGAAATGAAGTGCCACCCAGCAGTGCCAAACCTATTGACCAGAAGAATTATCCAGAGACATATATAAGCCTTTGACTTCTTTTGTCTCAGGATCTGTTTCAATGGTTGCAAAAAAACATAATAGAAAGACACAAATCTTCTAGAAGATCAAACTTGATTTTCCAATGTGGCGGTCAGAACGAAGGCTTTTGTCTTGGCCTCCCATCCAGAGTGTTTGTACAGTGTTAAATGTGCTAACATACAAACAGACCTTCCAAGAGCAAGTGTTGTTTGTCTCCAGGTGTCTTGGTTGAAGTTCAAAGTTTATGGAGACTTTGGTCTTCAGTCCTGCTAAACAGGGTGACATCATCATCATACACCACGGCTGAACAGTCTGCATTCTCTAATAAAACGTAACTGTTCTGACTGCCGTTTGGAGAAAGGCCCTCCTTCTTAGCAGTGGATGTGAGCTCACTCCAGGTGATGTCAGTGTTTTTAAAGGCATGTAGGAGGAAGATGCCATTGATGATGGTGAAGAACCCACTCAGGGTACCAATGATATCTCTGGCTTTCATGCCATACCACTCCTGGAACAAGATGGCAGAGCATGTCACCACCATGGATGTGAAGAACACGTAATAAATGGGAGTCACCAGAGAGGTGTTAAAAGTGTCCAGGGCTTTGTTGAGATAGTTAACCTGGGTCATTATGGAAAGTATAAGCACAGCCAAGAGGATGAAGACCAGGGGGTCCTTGTAAACAGGCTTCCACTCTAGCAGTTCCTTGATGGCAATTCCCAAGCCCTTGGCAGAAGAAACCGAAAATGCTCCTATCAAAGAACAGATTGCGATGTAGACCAGTATATTAGTCTGTCCTTTCTTGGGCGCCACGATCACAATCAGCACCAAGGAGATCACAGAGACGATCACAGCAAAGGAAATGAAGCCTGTTAGGAGGAGAAAGAATCAGGCTCAGGAGATGCTGACAGGACCAAAACTTCCCAAGGTACCATTAGTCATCACTTTCAAAGTACAGGAATTTAGAACGCGTGAAGAGTTGAATAAATACAACTCAGCTCCTTAGTGATTCATAGAGCAACTCACAAACATATCATTTGAATCTCCACAGTATCACTACAAGGCTGGTCAGGTGTAGCGTTTTATATTTGTACTTAAGGAAGAGGGGCAGGGATTTGGGTTCATCAGAAATCTTTTGTCTCCACTGGCCTCATCTCTTTCTGTTGCTGTGTGGCAAGGACGCACAGACACAACAACGAACTGTTAACTTCTTAGAAGAAGTTATAATGAACAACTCTCACCGTGGCCTACAGCCCACAGCGGGCTTGCAGGGTACCTTCAGTGTCGACACAAACTTCCTGTGGTGATGGGCATGGCGGAGCATGGGTAAGGTCAGTACTCCAGAGGCTGACAAAGAGGACTGTAAGTTCAAGGCCATCCTTGGCTATCTAGCGAGGTCCTATCTCAACAAAGCAAACCAAACCACACCAAGCCAAAACACACCACTCGACGAGGAAAAGAGGTAGTGACTTCGGTGGGTGTATGCCTTCTTTTTTTTTTGGTTTTGTTTGTTTTGAAGGCTGAACCACTGACCTGGATCTCTCAATTTCATTTCCATTTCACGCAAAGAAGTGACTTCTTCCTCTTGGGGGGCATGGATAACCATCACAGTTGACCCCAATATGCTTAAAATGCAGCCTATTTTCCCGTGAATGTTCAAGTGCTCGTTTAAAAAATAGGAAGACAATATCGCGCTGTGGAGAGAGAGAAAAAAAATCAAACGGCACAGCTCAGTTACCCTCTGACTCCACCGCAATTTAGAGGTCACACTGCGGCACGTGTGGCCCTGCACCCCACAGAGCCAACTAGAATGCGCTGTGTGACACTGGAAAGCCTTACGTGCATAGTTCAGCAATGGTGGTTAAGCAGCCGTAGTTTACTACTTGTATAGAGATTGTAGACATGCTACGCTCCTGTTGTCTCCCCATTGCCTCTTAGAGCTGAATTAGCTTCCAGTCGACACCTGTTAAGTAACTTCGATGAAAAGTGTTTTATGGCTCACTGGCAAAAGTGAGCATCCCTCAGGCCGGGCGGTGATGGCGCATGCCTTTAATCCCAGCACTAGGGAGGCAGAGGCAGGCGGATCTCTGTGAGTTCCAGGCCAGCCTGGACTACCAAGTGAGTTCCAGGAAAGGTGCAAAGCTACGCAGAGAAACTCTGTCTCGAAAAACAACAACAACAAAAAAGTGAGCATCCCTCATCCGAAATGCTTAGCCCCTGAAATGGTTCCATGGGAGGGGTTTGGGTTGTGGCTCTATTTGCATGTATGAGAGCTCTTAGGGAGGGAACCTGGACTTAAATAGAAGATTCATCTGTGTGTCATGTAGACTTGACAATATGTTTGATATGCTCATGTTTTGACTGCAGTCTGTCACATGCGGTCAGGTAAGGAATTTTTCACTTATGGCATCCTACGCAGGCTCAGGATGGTTCCAGTTGAGGATCACCTTGGCTTTGAGTTTTGAATCAGGGATGTCCAATCTGTATATTTAGAATATAAGCAACCATGATGTTTCAAAGGCATACATCCTATAGGGGCTGGGGAGATGGGTCATTCAGTAAAGTGCATGCTGCATGAAAATGAACATCTGAGTTTTATGACTAAGATTTTTATGAAAAAGCCAGTGTGGTTGTGCACAGTTTTCAAACCTCAGAGTTGAGGAGATAGAGACGAACGGATTGGGGACTCACTGTGCAGTTAACCTATTTGTCAAGCTCCAGGTCAGTGAGAGACCTTGACTCAACATAAAACGTGTACAGTGCCTGAGAAATGACACCTGAGGCTGTCTTTTGGTCTTCATTTCACACACACACACACACACACACACACACACACACACACACACGATAGAAAGATAGATACCTAGCTAGCAGGTACTCTGTTCAGAGTTGGTACATAACTAACACATTCCTGTACAATCATCCAGATTGTCAAACAGTAAAACATTTTCTCCTGTCCATCCCTGCCTGGATAGTTCCGCCCATCTAAAGCTCCCAATGCTTTGCTTGTCATGGCTTGCTTTCAAAATGCTCAAGGTTGGCACTGCCATGGATACCACAGTAGGACATCCTTCTGCTACACCGAGAGGCTCTCTGAGGCTTCTGCTCACCAGCCTTCTTTCTTACCATTTTCAATAAATGGTGCCATTTGACCTCAAGGCATTTACGAGGCGCTTTCTCAGAGTTGCCCTCTCGTGGTCATTTGGGGGACTGCAGCCCCAGTGAAAACTCTTAAGTCTTCAGACAGCTTTCTACACATTAACTCATTTAAATCTCTCAATTCAATAAAGGCAGAAAGAAGAAGTAGATAGGCCTAGTCAGAAGCTTTCTACTAGATACTGACAATTTACAGACTCTAAAAAGACAAAGACAACAAAATGGTAGCCAAGGCACACAAAGAGTTCACAGCTCATGGACCACATTCACCTGAATGCTAATACAGCCCAACTCAGAAAAGTCAGACCCATTGTGCTGGTTGGTTTTGTTAACTTGTCACATACTCGAGTCATCGGAGGAGAGGGAGCCTCAACTGCGGAGTTGCCTCCATCAGACTGATCTGTGGGCTCTTCTTGATTAATGATTGATGTGGGAGGGCCCAGCCCGCTAGGAGTGTGGCAACCCTGGACAGGTGGTCCTGAGTTGTGTAAGAAAACAAGCTGAGCGAGTTGTGGGGAGCAAGTCAGTAAGCAGGGTCTCTGCAGGGTTTCTACTTTCAGTTCCTGCCCTGACTCCAGCCCTGGCCTCCCTCAGTGAGAGACTAGATATAAACTGAAGCCCTCTCCTCCCTCCTCCAGCTGATTTTGGTAATGCTTTTATCAAGGCAACACATCAAACTAGGACACCCACATCCTATGAAACAGGAAATTCTAGCACAGGGTACCCAACACAGGTACCCAGCAGGCAATGATGAGATTGTAGCAAGAGTTGAAATTTAGCTTCAACACGACGTATTCCTTTAAAGGCTTCTGCTAACTGCTGTCATTAATCTATGTCATTAAACTATGGCAACAAGAAAAATTCAAAGGAGGTTCACAGTTTGCTCAGGTGAGAGGTATAAAACCCACCCCAAAACCCTCTGGGTAGGCTTCACTGAATCATCACAAATAGAATTTGCAGTTTCCTTGTCAGTAATGAGTCAAGCTCTCCCGTCAGGTTTTCCTTTCTTTCTTTTCTTTTTCTTTTTGTTAGGCTTGTTTCTTATTAACAGCATGGCAATATCGCTCCTGTTTCTCTTGCTATTTTTTTGTAGCTTTCTCAAATTATTATTATTATTTTTCAAGAGGCAAGATTAGTTTTTTTTCTTTGCTGGGGATCAAACTCAAGGCCGTTCCCATGTTAGCAATTCTTAGCCCAAGAAATAATCTTTTATGCCTATTATAAATGGCTTGTCTCTAAGTTCTCAGGCATCCCAGACATTATTTGGGACTGTCTGTACTTTGAGAGTTCAGGTTGCGTTTTTTTTTTTGTTGTTGTTGTTGGTTTTGTGTGTGTGTGTGTGTGTGTGTGTGTGTGTGTGTGTGTGCGCCCACGCAGTGATTTCTTGGCAGAATACTTCTCATGGTTTAAGTGTGCTGATGATAGTTAAGTAGCCCCGGAAGCCTCTGTTGTTCACCTACCTTATGAGAACACTCAGCGCCCCCAGGGGGGTGATCAAGGTGGCAGGTGCAAATGCATAGGCCGCAAAGTTGGCCGCCTCTCCAGCTCCCACTGGAAAGCAAGCAGAACAATGAGCAGATGGGATAAGGTCTTCATCAGAGGAGCTAAGCAAATGACTCAAGATAGCAGCAGACTTCTGTCTCAACGACGCTGAGACCTACCTGAAGGCAATGATTTAACTTCCTGCAGCCTGTGGGAAAGGAATGCTGTCATGAGACACAGAGCTACCATGATTGCCTGGAGACAGCCACGTGACAACGCTGGGGAAATGAATGTACTTAGTACATGATTTTCAACTGAGACTTGAGCTACTTGAATGGTGAAGACATATTTGGAATCCAGTAGCTTCGGAGTAAGTGGAGAATGACTGAATTTGCAGTTTAGCCATGACCGTCACATCAGGCATCTCATACAATGAGAAGGGCTTATAGGGATCGGGTGTCTGCGCGGCAGATATCCAGATATCCCCACCACAGGCCCACGGCAGGACTCGCTGAACTGGAGAGGAACGACAAGCAAGTGACGATGTCTCAGGAGCTCAAGAAGATCCAAGTAGCCGTTGGAAAGTGCTAAGGATAGATGTCTGAATGTAATGTTATCTGAGAAACTTGAGATCTGCACCGGGTAGTGTGCTGCGAATAACTTCCAGAGTGAGGGAAATTCTCCCAAGAGCTGGCTTTTGGGTGAAAGCCAGTTTATTCTCAGAGTCTGCAGTGGGATACCTCTCCAGAAAGTGTAGCATTCCACGCTGTCCAGCTGGGCCAAGCAAGCACATAGCGGAGAGAGGAAACAGCAGCATATACTCTATTTCTTTGTCTATTTTGCTACCACACTCATACTGCAGGAGTACCCAGCATTAGAACACCATAAAAAAGATCTAAATTGTTGTGGAAATTACTTTAACTTTGTCAACATGTGTTGCATTTGTTTATGCTGCAGAATATCACTTTAACTATGTAGAGATATGTTACGTGTGTTTATGCTGTGGAATATTACTTTATGTAAAGATACGTTACATTTGCTTATTCTGCATTTGTTTAACAATGTAAGGATGTGTGTTTAATTATGTAAAGATGTGCTGCATTTGTTTCACTTTGCCTGCCTAAGGCACCTGATTGGTCTAAAAAAGACCTGAGTGGCCCATAGCTAGGCAGATAGGGATAGGCGAGGCTAGCAGGCAGAGAGAATAAATGGGAGGAGAAATCTAGGCTGGAGGGAAAAAAAGAGGCTCAAAAGAGGAGAAAAGATAAGGAGAAAGAGGAGTTGCCAGGGGCCAGTCACCTAGACACCCACCCAGACAGCCACGGAGTAAGAAGGAAAGAAAGACATATAAAGAAAAGCAAAAAGCCCCAAGGCAAAGGGTAGATAAAGAGAAATCAGATTAAGTTAAAAGAGCTAGCCAGAAACAAGCCTAAGCTAGGCCGAGCACTCAAAACTAATAATAAGTCTCCATGTCATGATTTGAGAGCTGGTTGGTAGCCCCAAAGAAAAGGCCTGGTACACTAAATTTACAGAGCAATTAGGAGACTGCTCTCCTTAAAAGAGCTGGGGCAGCCTTTTCAGACTATTCAACTTCCTCTGGTGCCTTTATATTGTTTATAGTTCCTATTTTATAGATGTTGTTCTAGGCAAATCTTAACTTCATATGCTGATAGCCAGATAGCACCTCTAATGTATGTTTTCATCTGTACTATCACGAGCTTTTTGCTTGGTATACATGATATTGTAAATGTAGCCATACACATTACCCCAGTATCAACAGTCAAAGAATCCTTTAATGAATCCATGTTTGGTCCCAATAAGGAAGACAAACCCATTTCCAAGGGATTGTGCAGCCATGATAGCCACAAAGTTAAGAACTCAGAAGAAGGCCATGAGGTGATGGCACACGCCTTTAATCCCAGGGTTTGAGAGGCAAAGGCAGGCAGATCTCTGTGAGTTTGAGGCCAGCCTGGTCTACAAAGAGAGTTTCAGGGAAGCCAAGACTGTTACACAGAGAAACCCTGTCTCAGAGGGGGAAAAAAACAACTCAGAAGAAGGGCTGGAGAGATGGCTCAGAGGTTAAGAGCACTGGCTATTCTTCCAGAGGACCCACCAGAGGACCTAGGTTCAATTCCGCCACCCACACAGGGGTTCATAATTATCTGTGACTCCATAATTATCTGTGACTCCAGTTCTCCAGATCTGATGCCCTCTTCTGGCCTCCTCATGTACTACATGCACATGGTGCACAGAGCAATGCGGGCAAACCAGGCATATACTTAATATATAAATAAATAAACCAGGCATACACTTAATATATAGATAAATAAAACAGGCATACACTTAATATATAGATAAATAAAACAGGCATACACTTAATATATAAATAAATAAACCAGGCATACACTTAATAAATAGATAAATAAAACAGGCATACACTTAATA